TTGTGCGTCGCGCCGCAAGTGAGCGCGTCGCTAGGCGAGCTATCGCACTTGCTCGAGGTCTTGACCCAGTTGCAGCTGCGGCCGTCGAGCGAGCCGCCTCGACGTCGCCGTCGCCATTGAGGCGGAAGGCGTCGATCGCGCCGTTGACGCGCATGCACGACCAGTCGGCGGCCGCCGGCGCGACGGCCTGAACCAGGAGGAGGAGGAGGAGCCGCATCGCTGCGTCTGGGATTATGGGCCACGACGTGGCGCCACCTGCTTGGGCGCTGGCTCTCGGCGCGCCGAAACCACGTGGCAGAGCCATGAACCATACAAACCACCGAGCGCCTTGCACTTTCCATTCCAAAGGTGTCTCGTTGGAATGTCATTTTATCGCAACTGTCTCTTTTCGCACCCGACTCGGCAACGAGGAAGTCGGAATCCGAACGTCCTCTCGAATGCAATATGGACCACGTCAACTGTGTCTCTCTTGCACTTGTACCGGTCAGCGTTGTACAACCTACTCGTGCGTTGGGACGCACCAGTCGATGGACCCTCATCCTGCGGTATCGCGTGTACTGTTTCAGGCGGCGCCAAAGTAGTCAGTTGGAGCCACCGCAGAAAAACCTGCGTGTTCGAAGGCATGGAACAGGCCGTCTTCAGACCTAAGTTGTGTTGATGGCGATTGTAGCGTTTTGTGTAATCGGTATTAGAGCACCAACGACGTCGTAACCTTGCAGAATGAGACAGTTTCGGTAACAGTGATGATGACCGAGCCATTTCAAAGCCATCACGATCGTCCATCGACTTTGCTCTCTACCTGTTCATATTGCCCTTGAAGCGCGATGGAATTTGCGGCATCGATCCTGAATTTCGTGAATAGCAACAACAAGCAAAGGAATTTTCTGCTGAAGTCGCGCGTCAACCATAGGTTGGCTTCAGTTCCAGAAGGTTGCGCTACTCGGTTACGGGCGGTGACTGATCGAGGCCGCCGTTGGGCGGAGGCGTGCGTTCTCTGCTCTGCCTCGTCGGACTCGACACGATCGCCAACAACTAAGCCATCAGCAACTTTGTGGGCAACGGCTACCAGTTTTTGACATCGCAACCGCGTCGGGCACATCGCACCTCCTCCGGCAGTACTCGTTTGCGAAAGGCGCGAGTCTCTCCAAGGTCGCCCAATGGATGTTCAACTACACAGTGACGCAGCTGAAACGACAACGTCTTCTTGCTCTCGACCGCGACATTCAATGGCGAAAGCCGCGTCATGGTTCTTCTGAATCTGGGCAACGTCACCTCTCTCTACCTGCAGTCTTGCTCTCGGACGTCGATCCGAACGGCGCCGTCCTTGTCTGCAAGGCGCGTCGCCTCTTGACGCTGCAGTGGTACTTTTTATCGCACTTGCAGACATTTGGACTGCCAGAGAAGGGCCTCGTGCGCGCCAAGAGGCTCGCCCAGCAGCGCCGAGTGCCGTCGGTTCAATCAACGACAACTACGTCGACAGCTGTCGATGCGGCACCTGACATGCGCTGCACAATCGCCCAGGACAGTGGCCGCCATCTACACCTTCTCGACGACCAATTTGTCGACATGCCTTTAATAACAATGTACGTGTCCGGGTCCGCGTGGTGCTCTGGCATCGCCCCTTGTATCAGGTAGCCCAGCTAGCTCGAGTCCAGTGTATGTGTGTCAGATCCTGATTGGTCGAAATGGCAAACTGTGCAAAATCCTATTGGCCAGCGTTGGCGCCAAGTCGCCCACGTCCCTCAACAACAAGCATGCGTGCGTCGATGTATCGACTACAACCACTCAATATCAATGTATCAAGGTACCACCCTGCCAAGTGGCATAATCGCACAATTCCAAAATTAAAAAGCATGACAACACCAAGCTAACTGGACAACACAACACTACGAGTATATCGCTAACACTGTCGCAGTGCGTCCCGCAGGTACCGAACGATGTCCTTGGCCTTGGGGCGCGCCTTCGGATCGAACGCGATGCACTGGATCGCGAGGTTGTAGACGACGTCGGGGCAGCTCGTGCTGAAGCTGGGCTCGACGCCGCCGCTCATGACGCGCTCCATGAGCACGCCGTCCGAGACGTTGACAAGCTGCTGCGCGGCCGGCCGGTCGCGCAAGAGCACAAAGTCGCGCAGCGATTTTAGCGGCTGCTGGAGGTCGTAGTACGGCACGTGGTGCGTATCCAACTCTGCGAGGATCATGCCGAACGAGTAGACGTCGGCGGCAATCCCGTAGCGCTTGCCTTCCAAGACTTCGGGGGCGGTCCAGCGGTAGCTGCCAACACCCTGGGTCATCGTAGCGGTTGTGACTTGACGCGCAACGCCAAAGTCCGACACTTTGGCCTGCATCCCGTGGTTGAAGAGCACGTTGCGGGACTTGAGGTCGCGGTGGACGATGCCAGCCATGTGCAGCGCCAAGAGGCCTTTCGCAATGTCTTTGGCAACCGCAATCTTTTGCGGCCACGGAAAGAGCAGCGTTGCGTTGGACCGCGTCGCCTCCAAATGGTGCTGCAGGTCGCCCTTGTCCATGTACTCGAGGACGAGCTCGACGTCGAGCAGACGCACGTAGCTAATGCCCACCACTTGCATCACGTACGGGCTCTGCACGCTATGACACAAGAGGCGATGAGACCTCGTGCACAAGCCGCGCGATAATGATGCACACCGCGTCATGAGCAGGATCTCGTCGAGGAAGGCTTGGATGATGGGCGCCGTGCGCTCCGAGGCGAGCGGCGTCTTGATCGCGACGAGCTGGTCGCGGTACCGGCCGACGCGAACGGTGCCGTACGTGCCGACGGAGAGGGTCGTGAGCGGCACGAGCTCGGATTCGTCGAGGCGCCAGAACGCCAAGTCGCCGAGCTCGAGCTTCGCGCCGAGCGTGAGCGACTCGAGGTGCT